ACCGAAACGTCCGACGTTGACATATTAACATTAAAACAGCATAATTGCATATAAGGATTTTTTTGTTTTTTTCCGTATATATTTTTTCTTCATATATATATATATATATATATATTAGTCTGTTTATGTATCTATCTATCGCTGTCTATTCATATACATCGATCTATCTTATGATATATCTATATATCTATTTTCTTCTGTTTTATATATCTATCTATCTAGTACCATCGTGATTCCCCCACTTAAATGAAACGTTAAAAAATATTTTTTAACGTTGAAACAAGATGTACAGTTTTGTAGTAGGTATGTGCATGTTCTAATGCACTAACACTATATATATATATATATATATATATATATATATATATATATATATATATATATATATATGTGATGGATCAATTTTCCTCTAGATTATTCAAGAATGTAAGTCACCCTGACATCTCATTTTAACATATATATTTACCATAATTGCACAATAAAATCTTGAAATACTAATGAGTAAATTTTTTCACTAAAATCGCCATTGCCTTCAACCAGACGATTTCGGAACACTTCTAGACGGTCTCCTTGTTTAAGTTGATGATTGCTGTCATAGTTTCTGACTGTTCATCTTTGGTGTTACAAGTTTTGTTCGTCTCTCACTCAACTGCGCCTCACATATAATAATCAAGCCGAATATAATTATTTATTCAAAAATTGTAACATATATATGTTATAAAATCCCTACAAAAATAGCCATTTTGTTTCAACACCTCTACCTTTTGAAACCCTTTATTCTACATTCAACATCATCACTTGATAAGATACCAGAGGTGTTGAAAGAAAATGGCTATTTTTGTAGTGATTTTATAACATATATATGTTAAATTTTCGAATAAATAATATATATATATATATATATATATATATATATATATATATATATATATATATATATATATGTACGAAGGCATTTTTAGAGCTCTTTCAGCGAACAAATCAGAAGAACCCCTTAGCAAAGTTAAAGGGTCTAAGTCCATAGATCATTACACCAATTAGAATTCCTTTGTCCCCAAGTCCCGTAAGATAAACGTGATCTGTTCGTTGGTCCACCGTATACTGATATTTTCTTCTTGCAAATTTGATCAAGTAACAGTAAGTATCAAGTAACATCTATGACATTTTCTGTAACAACGGGTAACCTGGGAATGTCATCAAACTCACCGCTGAACGCAAAATTAAACGCTTCAGAGTTCCGCTAGTTTTCGGTCCTGCTCTGTGTTTTGTATCTTTAAAAATTGCTTTAGCTGGACAGGAAAAGTCAGACACATCCCGACAGAGTTGTGTTACATCGGGTTTTACGGCAGTCAGGTTGCGTGTTGTTTTGGGAACCAATCCGATTTTACCCCTGTTTTTTTTTTTGTTTTTGTTTTTTTCAAAGTTGGTTTGTCCTACCTTCAAAATAGTTCTAATGTCTACAAATTTTAATGTCAGTGCGAAGCTGATTATATAAGACGGATCCATCAGCGACTCGAGGCCTGGATTGGTCAATACGCTCTTGCTAGCATAAGACAGGGTTCTTCTGATCGTAGTTTGAGAGATACCTAGCCAGTGCATGACTCGGCTATCGGCCAACTTTATAATCGAATTATGCAGCAAAAGATGTGAACGATTCGTTCACAGTTTTGTACAAAGCCCTGACCGGTCAAGATTTACGTTAACTTAAAGTGGTCCTTATTCAATTACATCAACCGTCTCTGTGAATACAGAAAGAGCGATTTATTTGCTCGCTGTGTCTTTTAGGAAGTGTATGAGTAACAAACATTCTTTCCGTTTTATACTCGCCTGGAAGCATTTAACCTTTATTCGTATCTTTCTACTTTTTTTCTCTTTTCTCCTTGTTTTATTAATGAATATTTCACAAATAAAGGCTAATTTTAACCGTGGATTCCCTTTTCCTCCTTACATATTTTCGTCTGCGGTGCGAATTGTTTCCTCTTTTGTAAATTGATATGCTAGCCGAAACAGACACGAACACACACACAGACACAGACACAGACACACACACACACACACACACACACACACATATATATATATATATATATATATATATATATATATATATATATCACGTCATCCCATAAGTTCTGTCCGAATTTTGAATAAAGAAAACAAGTGACCAAATGTTACATTTAATTACAGATTCAATGAACAATGTATTTTCCCTGATTATCTATGACTTCCTTCCATCTATTAACAAGCTTACTAATTCCATTACTGTAAAATTCTTTTGGCTTTGATTCGAAGAACTCACAAATGTCAGTTTTAACCTCTTTCTGTGTTACAAAAGCTGTTTCTTCCAAATGATTCTGTAAGCTACGAAACAAATAGTAGTCTGAAGGAGCAAGATCGGGAGAATAAGGTGGATGAGGAATTTTCTCCCAAGTAAGTTCTTCGATCTTTTGTGACGTGATTCTTGCTGTGTGGGGTCGCGCATTGTCCTGATGAAACATCACCTCTTTTCGATTCACTAGACCAAGTCATTTTTTCCTCAAAGCTTGGTCCAAACGCTCTTATTGCTGACAGTATATTTGAGCATTAATTGTTGCATTAGGTGGTAAGAATTCAAAGTGGATTATTCCTTGGCGATCCCACCAGATTGAAAGAAGAACCTTTTGCCCATGAAGTTCCTTTCTCGGCTGTGGCTGGGGTCCTTCCCCTTTACCAAGCCACTGTCTATGACGCTTAACATTTCGATAAAAGATCTATTTTTCGCCGCCAGTCACAAGTTTATCCAAAAAAGGTGAAACAAGTTGGCGAGAATGGAGAGAAGAGCAGATGTCAACTCGGGATTTGAGGTTGTTTTCAGACAATTCATGAGGCACCCATTTTCCAAGTTTAGGAACTTTTCCAAGTTGTTGAAGATGACGATGAACAGTTGTATGGTTTGAACTGAGAACCACTGCCAATTCCTCAACTGATAAAGCAGGATTTTCTTCAAGGGCTGCTTCAAGAAGCTTTTCATCAAACTCAACTGGACGTCCGGTTCGATCTTCATCTTCAAGGGTGAAATCTCCACCTCTGAATTTTGCAAACCATCTTCTGCAAGTTCTTTCATTCACATATTCCTCTCCATAAACTGAGTGAATGTTTCTAGCCGCTTTGGCTGCTGAGTTTCCTTTCTTGAACTCATAAAGCATTATGTGCCTCAAATAATTCTTGCGTACTTCCATGTTAGTAGGGTTTTAATCAAATAAAATTTAATTTTATTGTTCTCTGAAATAAAATTTGATCAGTTTAAATGCATCTAAACATAAAAATAATGTTCAGCTCCATTAGACATTATAAAATACTCTTTAAATTTCGTTCATTTTAACAAAAAGTTAAAATTTTTCAATATTACATGAATTATTCATACAAAAAACAGATTAGTGAAGTTAATGATATAAATGGTGAGAATATATCTTCGCAAACAAATTTATTAAAATTACATTAACCCACGAACCTCTAGATGAATATATATATATATATATATATATATATATATATATATATATAATACACACACACACACACACACACACACACACATATATATATATATATATATATATATATATATATTTTATATATACATATATATATATATACAAAAACAATTCAGTGCTGACTTTGATCGAAGTTGTGTTTCTTTGGTGAGGCTGCCGAAAATTTAGTCATGTCTACATCATCTTCTAAACATGTACGCAGTTTAAATTTTGTAATTACTTTAGGCAAGTGAATAGGTAGGTTTGCTGACTATTTCTGAAAAAAGAATTTGTGTAAGCACCACACGCCATCTGGGTTGAATTTCTTACTACAAGTAAACCCAATACAAACCCCATGGGGTGCAAGGTAGTGGAAATATTGGGATATCCTTGTCCTTGTCCTTGTCCTTGTAACGGCATTCACCCGAGGTGGGTTGAGCCGGCTCTCTTTTGGAGTTTCATGGGAATTTGGAATTCATAAGTGGTCCCCAACCCGCATGTATAGCACATAAGATTTGATTATAGTGGTGAAGGTTTCGTGCAGGACCATCCACACTTTTTGAAGGGCCGAATACAGAGACCTGGTGCACTACGTGCCACAAGGTCCCCAAACGACCCTCAGCAGATTTTGAATTCAGAGTTTTTTCTTCTCCTAGACCAGTTGCCATCCAAAGCTATAGGACCCAGTCTGTTTGCCCGTAGCTGGAGGGAGAAGAAGAGGATTCACACCTTTCCCAGGGGTATTAGCACGTAAGTGAATGTAATGGATTCGACTGGAATTCGAACTCGGCTGTGCGATTCCTCAATCCAAGCCGCTATCCATTACTCCACCGGATATGTAGGATAGATAACGGTTAACACAAGACTCGAAAGGGATATATTTTTAGTTATCAGGAAAGCATCCTCTAAACCAGTAGTTCTCAAACTTTTTTTGCCCATTGCAGCCTTTTCGCTATAAGTCACAATGCCATCTTCCCACCTTTCTAAGATTATCCGACTCAAAAGTGCATTGTAAATAATATGCATATATTATTGAAAATTTTCATTCTTTTCCATATTAGTGCATGTACGGCATATCAATTCATGGGTAATTTAATACGAAATCTAACTAAAATATTTTGAACACATTTTTATGGTTTTAACTAAATACTAGAGCACCTGTGACGTGTTGGATCAACCTGGTGTTACTGTTTACAATTAGTTTCATGAAGTGTTTGTGAAAGTAGAGATATTTTAAAAATATGTTTATTTGCAGTTATTGAAGTTGCTTTCAACATTAAAAAAATTGTCTTTTTGAAGAAAGTTGAAATAAAAATACAGTATAAACAAATCGCATTTTTAAATCATATTATTAAACAATGAAGTTGCTTTCAACATTAAAAAAATTAAACATTAAAAACTTTCAACATTAAAAAAAAAGTTGAAATAAAAATATTTAAAATATTGATTGTTTAAAGAAAGCTGAAACATAAATATGCACGCACGCAATCACGGAATGGTGGAAAGAGAGAGAGGTGGAAAGAGAGAGAAGTGGAAAGAGAGAGAGGTGGAAAGAGAGAGAAGTGGAAAGAGAGAGAGATAGAAAGAGAGAGAGAGGTGGAAAGAGAGAGAAGTGGAAAGAGAAAGAGGTAGAAAGAGAGTGAGGTGGAAAGAGAGATAGGTGGAAAGAGAGTGAGGTGGAAAGAGAGAGACGTGGAAAGAGAGAGAGAGAGGTGGGTAGAAAGAGAGTTTTTTTCTCCATTTCCTTCTTCCCCCGCCCCGCTTCCTACACGATAATAAATTAATATCTTTCTTTCACCCACTCTCTATATATGACTTCTGGCAAACACACAAGCAACGTTCACAGACTTTTATAGAAATAAAGATATTTCTAACACAACTATATGCCTTCAACTACAGATAAAATGTATTGTTGGTCATTTTGTTATGAAAGTTATTGCTAATAATTCTACTATAAAATGTATTGCTGGTCATTTTGCTTTAAAATTGTACTGTACGTAATTTTACTATAAATATGAATTGTTGATATTTTTTTCATATAAATATATATTGTTGGTAATTTTATTGTAAAAATATATTTTTATATTTTCATATTTTTTGTCCATAGCTGGGACCCTAACTGGTGCTACCACCCCGGGTCAATGTGGACCTGGGAACAACAGCATTTAAGAGGTGGGTCCACGCTCCTCAAAGCATCCAATCTCCCGATCAACGGCCTTGCTGCCGGACGTAGTTCATAGACATACTCAGGTCTACATAGTTTTTATAGAGGCGTTTTACAAATTTAATTACAATAGAAAACGTTAGTAGATTTTTAAACTTGAATACATGTACAGTAATTTGTTTTAATACATATTTAATTATTAAATAAATAAACTAAAGCATACTTCAATAAACAAAAGTTCAATATAAAGCCAAAGTATTGTAATTCAATAAGGAAAAAGTTCAGTAAAAGATCGAGATATTTAAATCGATTTTATTAAGATTACAGCCAGTGAGTAACTTGTGAAAAAGTAAAAGATTTTTCCCTCCCCCATCTAAAACGCCGAATTTCTCCTCTGGTTCTTGTTTTCTTTTTATGTACCGTGTCCTTTCAGGACGTAGGCGATCAAGGCTCTCCACTTACCCCAATCCCTTGTAGCTCTCAATAAATTTTGTCTCTTCGTCACCTCCCCGAGATCCACTTGCTTAAGCCCGCCAGGTATGTCCCACATTTCTTTCCCTTGTCTCTCTTTCCCTCTATCCACCCTGTGAGTATCAGATTCTCCAAGCCCTCCTTCCTCATTACGTGTCCCAGAAATTTCAGCTGCCTCTTCTTAAGTATAAGCTTCCTCCTTGTTTGCATCTCGGCGTTGCTCACATGCTCAGTCTATGATATCCTCAGCATCCTTCTGTAGAACCGTATCTCTGTTGCCTCGTGTCTCTTCTTCATCTTTGAGGAGATCGTCTAACATTCGCCGCCGTAAAGGAGGACAGATGTCACGTAGCAGCTCAAAACTCTTTTCTTTGTTACCAAAGAAATCCTCCTGTCTCGCAATACTCAGCTTTTGCGTTGCGTCCTTGGTCATCCCCATTACGTCTTCGGATCTCATCGTCGCACTTACCGTCTTTCGTCAAAACACTTGCCAGATATTTAAACTTCCGTACCTGCTTGATTTTAGTGTCCTCCGACCTGCAAATCGCATTTCGAGGTCATCCTTTTACTGATGACCATACATTGTCTTCTTGTAGTTTATGCTTAGTCCCTTCTTCTCGCTCTCCTTCGCCCCCTTCTGTAGGAGGTCTTGTAAGTTCATTCCGTCTAATAATAATAATAATAATAATAATAATAATAATAAATTGTTATTAAAGACCACAAACAAAAACGGTGCCTCCTTATTGATATGGCTGTCCCTGCTGACTGCAATGTATCTTTGAAGATATTCAAAAAGCTGTCAAAATATAAGGACCTTGAAATAATCCCTGTTTTAGTTGGAGCCCTAGGACTGGTTGGAAAAGATTGCAGTAGACTAATTGAAGGGATTCTTGGAACTCCATGCCTCAAGGAGATACAAAAAATTGTTCTAACAAGTACAGCCCACACTTTACGAAGGGCTTTATCTATGTAATATTTTTTTTTTTTTTTTGTCAGTGGGAAGTGTCATGATGCCATTTCTAAACTTAGGTCCCTGGGTGGAACCCGGACAGAAATGTGTAAACGCCAGAAATCTAAGAAAATAAAAATAATAGCCTATTTTAAGGAACAAAAGTTAAGGCCAAACATGCAGGCCAAAACATAACAGAAAGAAAAAACGTTATTGATGGTAACTAAAAAGATAATACATTACTATACCATGACGAACGATGGTTTTCTAACCTCAATGTACGGGTGTTATACCGGAACATACCTATTCTATTGTTAATAGATAATAAGTAGTAGTAGCAGTCGCCAGGGGGCTCAGAGTGAGTTGGTGAGTCAGTCGATGTCGGACCTTAAAGTATCAATCACCGCAACTAGATTGCTGCGTCATTAACTATTATTTCAAGTTCCTAACGTTTTGTACGTCGAACCTCTTTTAGGACCGACTTAGTGAAATACAAGCCTCCACTGTGAAAACTACTCTACAACAACGGGATACGTCTGGTGACGGATTAAAAAAGAGAAAATCGAATGCTAAACATTATTAGTCGAATACCTTAAATATCCACTCTTGAATGACACTTATTTAGTCTAATATTCAAAATGCATTTTTCATGAAAAAATAGGGCGATGATTAATTTTTTTTTTCAGTATTTTACAAGGCAGTTGCAAAGTACATAAATATTGCAATGGTAAATACGTTTCATCAAAGATAAAAGAGAGAGAGAGAGAGAGAGAGAGAGAGAGGCAGAGAGAGGCAGAGAAACGGACATAATAGAAATAAACAGACTTAGAAAGATAAACATATAGATAATAATAGACTAAGAGAACTCATTGAGATAGATATATCGATATAGTAATTTGACTAGCTAAATAATTTATCTTTACATACAGACAAATACTTGCAGACGTAAATTAGTTTCATTATTCACACATACACATACACACACACACACACAAACACACACACACACACACACACACACACAATAACAATAATATATATATAAATGAACATTGAAGTCAAAACTCAGAGGCGGCCAGCTGTTTCATGCTGGATGCAATCGTCAGGCTGCGCGGCCTGACGATTGCGTCATGACGATTGCATCTAGCAAGAAACAGCCTGTCGCCTCTGAGTGTTGACTTCAATGTTCAATTTTATATTCATATTTACATACGCTCTATCTCTGATATGGAGCACTTTATCCCATAAATATAGCACACCATAAAACTATACTTCTTCATTTATATATATATATATATATATGTGTGTATGTAAGTGTGAGTATGTGTGTGTGTGTGTGTGCGTGTGTGTGTGTGCATGTTTCATTAAAAAAACGACAGACAAGGTAGGATGACTAAGCTTTTTATTTAATTTTTTTCCGGTAAAACAAGTGTTTATTTTTTTGCACACATAGTATGTAGAATCTGTACAAATGTTTTAATTCGTTGTTGGGCACATAATTCTATGTCGTTTTAATGAAACACGCATAAATTAAGATTGATACCTATATATATATATATATATATATATATATATATATATATATATATATATATATATATATATATATATGCCGCAAATGTTGTGTGTGTGAATGAATTACATTTGGATAGCAACCATTTCTTTTAAAACATCTTTTGTTAAATATGACAGACAAGGAAATTTTAATTAATTTTTTATTTAGTTTTTTCCGTTTGGTGGGAAAAAGGAATACAAAATTGTTCCTATTGTTCCAAGCGCTTTTTTTCGGCTACTTTTCAGCCATATATATATATATATATATATATATATATATATATATATATATATATAAAAAATGTTTATGTATATATAGACTTTTCGTTTCATTTCGTTGTTGAAAGTGCTATCTGATGATCCGGCGTCCTTTTGAAAGGACTCTGGTGAAATAAATAATTATAATGGTATCTTAAAGTGGTCTGTTTTTCTTTTAAATATTAGCTCTGGATTTACATTGAGCTCTCAGGATTTCATCCTCCTTGGGATTACCCATACAGATATACCATGTTCTTCATAACTTAACTTAAATATATATATATATATATATATATATATATATATATATATATATAGTTGTTATTTTTCGGCGAATGTTAGGGTAATATGTGTTACCCGTCCTGCTTTCTCTTCCATTCGTAAGGACGTCCTCCCTCCCCAATTCAGTGATTTACCAATACAAGTGTAGTTGTGGACACGACTACATAGGGAGGACGTCCCAGCATTTGGATTCGAGAATAAAACACCATTTACCCACCAGGATTTTGAATCCGTCCTCTAAGAATAGCCAACTGACTAACAGTTCTGGTCCTGCTATTGCTGAACATTTGATAAATAGAAGGAAATGTGTGGAGAATTTTAGTAGTGACCGATTTATAATTTTATCTAGGTCCCATTCCATATTTCACCTCAAGGTTCTAGAGTCATTGTATATCAGATCTCCTGAGCCTTCCCTTTGTAAACAGATGGAATGCTTGATGGGTCTGAATATTATTGGACTCTAGTTTCTTGAAATTCATAATTTTTTTTTTCCCATTCGATTACATTCGTTAATTAAAATTAATTTACACGCTTTTAAATTCCCAGAATAAATAAACTTGATAAATCCTGGGACGAAACCGGTTGTTTTTATTTTAGCTTTTGCTTTTAAAACATGCCTTATAAATATTGTCTTTTCCTATCTATTATTAAATTCTACCACGAAAACCTTATTTATATATATATATATATAGAGAGAGAGAGAGAGGGGGGGAGAGAGAATGAGGAAGAGAGAGTGGGATGGATAAATTGTCTCCTAAATTACGCAAAAATGAATATAACACCGACATCTCATTTTAAGAGATATATTTACAAAAATTGCGTAAACATATCTTGAAATACGAAAGAGTAAATTTATTCAATAACATTGTCATTGGCTTGAACCACGCTCTCCAAACGACTTCGGAATCTCATGCAACTCTTCTGGATAGTCGCCATGTTTAAGTTGGTGAGTGCTGTCATAATCCTTGCCTTCAGTTTATCTTTGGTGTTACAAGGAGTTTTGTTGGTCTCTCGCTCAACTGCGCCCCACACATAATAATCTAGGGGATACCAGTCTAGAGAGTTAGGTGGCTAGATGTAAGGCGTGATATGGTCGCAGAAATTGCCTGGGTCCTCCTGCTTTTATGGCATGGTGCAGAGTCCACTAGTGTTCACCCCAAACACCTTCGCAATCACGAATTAGACTCCTTAAATTCTTTCCGAATCATATGCACTGTCCGCAGATTGATATCCAAACACTGAAATGTTCGTATTGGGGCTTCAAACGCGAATGCCAAGAAGTACAGCATGTCGTTTTCAAATTTCTGGTGGATTAAATTGCGTCATATTCCTCTTTTTCTCACAAACAACTGAGCCTACTATACTGTTCAGCCGACAAAATAAAAAAGAATCAACGCGCATGCTCGAAATTAAAAATATAAAATGGCGGCGATTTACCAATTGCACCTTGCATATATGATCTCAAGAAACATGAAACAGATTGTCCCCATTAAGCGTTTACCTTAGTGCCAGCAGATAGATAGATAGATAGATAGATAGATAGATAGATAGATAGATAGCTTGAGAGATAAGTTGATTTATCTATACACAGATATTGTCATATTTAAATTCTTGCATGTGCACATATTCTATGCATCAGAGTGTAAAATGCGTGTGCGTGGGTGCGGACAAGGTCATTTTAATTGTTGTTCGTTGCAATGTGTAGCGGGGTGGGTAGCTAATAAAGAACTAAATCTGTAGAGAAAAGGCTGAACGGTGGTGTGAGGGAAGGAGAACCAGAAAGCCATACAAATTTCTGCATGACGAAAGAATATAAGAAACTGAACGAGGACAGGAGATGAGAGCGGACATGACAGATAATGAAAACGTACATGGAGATGGAAAAGGAAGACTATATATAAAAAAAAAAAAACGGGCAAATAAATACGCTCTTCCACTGAACATGCTTTTTCCCGCCAAAATGTCTCCATTTTAGGAAGAAAAACGAATGGAATTCCATCAATTCTCGGAAAATTCATTCGCAGAAACCATAGGCGGGAAAAAATGAAAGGAGCAGCCGAACTGACATGGAGGAAGAGGAGAGGGCAAAAGAGCTTGTTTACGAACAAACAGCTCATCTACATTTACTCCAGCAAATGCATAGTGTGCCCAGTTCAAGGAGATTAGAGAAGGCTACATTGCCAATTTAGTAACTTTGGTCCAATATTCAAACGATAAGACTCGACTCGAAATAAAAAAAAAATGACAGTATAAACTGTTAATTGTCGGCGAGCAGCTACAAACCATCTAATAGATTGGTTCTTTGACAATTTTTTGTGGCTTCGTGTCAGTAGGAAGACTCTCGCCATTGCAGCACAAAGTCTTGTGAATGTAGATTTTTTTTTCTGTTTGGATTATCCTTTGGAAAGCTTTTTTTTATTCTTCCTGCTAATTTCCTTCCTTCTTTTCTTAATTCCTCTCTTGCTTCCTTTCCCGTTCTCATTGTTCGCCATCTTTCTTCTATACCCCACACTTCACTACATTTTAGAAAACCAGCCTCTAAACGGTGAGAAATTACGGCTTCATAGACCAATGAAGCAAATAATCTGACGTCTCTTTCCAGGATTTTTGGTACTTATATATGGCACAGTCGGGCACCTCGACTAGGTGTAATGTTTAGCGAGCTTGTCTCGTTAGATCAATTACAACTGAATAGTAAGTTCGATCCTCACTAGGTGCTCCTTACATTCGGCCTTGTGCCAGAACTAAGCTTCGCTTAGTAAATTAATACTGGGCACAGCGATATAGTTTAATAGCGAGCTTGTCTCGTTAGATCAATTACAAATGAATAGTGAGTTCGATCCTCACTAGGTGCTCCTTACATTCGGCCTTGTGCCAGAACTAAGATTCGCTTAGTAAATTAATACTGGAAACATCGATATGGTTTAATAGCGAGCTTGTCTTGCTAGACCAATTACAACTGAATAGAGAGTTCGATCCTCACTAGGTGGTCCTTAATTTGGGCCTTGTGCCACAACCAAACTTACTTCTGGGTACTTCAACTTGGTGAAATGATCAGCGAGCTTTACTCGGTACATCAATTTTGACTGAATAGTGAGTTCGATCCTCACTGGGTGCTCTATATATTCGGTTTTGTGCAACATGTAAGCTACGCTTACAAAATCACCATATAAGGTACGAGTAGCGATTTAATAATAATAATCCAAAGTTAAATTTTCATTACTTAACATATATTTATCCTAATATTTCGTCAGTTACTCTCGTTCAATCTCTGGTAAGCGTCCTTCATCGTTCGCCCTCCCCCATGTAATCAGGTTTTATAAACAATCACTCCTGTCTGAAATTGCCAGGGGTGATTGTTTATAAAACCCGATTTCCTTACAAATTCTCTCGCGCGCTTGGGATCTCGATGAAGGTGTATGGTCACGTAGTCCTGCATTTGGTAACCGCGAATGACCCCCAGGTTCAGTATCTAGCCTGGGCATTTTAATACATTTGTACGATCATGCGCCTATCGTTATTAAGACTCCCTCATATCAAACAGCAGGAATTTCTTTTAAAAATAAACGTTTAATATTTATGGCACCCGCTCATAATTTTGCACACCGACAAAAATTCCTTCATTCCATAACTGTTCCTGTCAACCTAGCAATTAAGAATGTTCTTTTTCAGGACATCTAATGCAGTCGCAAAACACGCAAATGGCACGAGAGACGAGTATAGTATGTGATTCGGGCTAGAAAATACCGTAAGATTGAATCCAATTTAATATGCATCAGGTACTAGTGAGTTAAGAAGAGTTCACCCGCGGTGGCCAAAATATATACGAGGCTCATTTAACTCTATTATAGAAATTTATATGTTCATAGAAAATCTTCTCATTGTGCATACATGAGAAACTATATATTATAAAGTTTATAAAAAATAAAAATTTACTAAATCAAAGAAATGAAATAGCTATTCTTTGCCGACATTGTCAAAAATTTTTCTTAAATAATATTTAAAAATAAAATAAAATAAATGGGAGCTGGTAATATACATACTTATATTTGTAATGAAAAATAATTTTAAATAATTTAAGTAATTCTATTACATTTACTTGATTTAAAAAAGAAGTATAGTCTATTAGTAATTAAGAGTAAAAAATATTTTAAAATTGTAGTTAAATATAACGTATTCTAACCCAAACATCCCATTTAGAAAGAATCTTTAAGTATACAAGTACGAAAAAAATGCCGAAAACCTTTTTGTCTTTAGTAATGAAAAAAAAAACAAAAACAGACGACATGCGTTTAACGGATGTCAGAATTCGTTGAAAAATACACCCCTACCCTCTCTAAACTTAACCTCTTTTTCGAACGTAACTCATAATCGATACAGCAATAGTTAATAAAAATGAACACGCTACCGCCTCTGTCTAAATGATTGGATTTCTCTGCATCCTTGGAAACAGGAAATTATGAATTTATATGAGCGTTTAAAACTCTGTAAATTTAAAAATAAGTTATTCCAAAATTCGCTTGAAGAAAAAAAAACAGAACTAATGCTTTTAATTTAATTATATAATTAAATTTGAAGTTTTTAGCTTCGGTTTTTGAAACATGGTTATTACTGTGTAGCGAAGAAACCATATTTTAATTCAGTTATAATATTTTTTCTCTGCAAATTTACATTGAGCACTGTTTTATAAAAATAAAAAATATCAATAAGAACACCGGATTATATATCTTACTGTTCTTTCTTTTTATTTATACACACACACACACACACACACACACACACACACACACACACACACATGTACAACAGAACAGATAGATAGATAGATAGATAGATAGATAGATAGATAGATAGATAGATAGATACAAAATGGTCACAGGAATCAGTAGTGCATGGTGACTGTCAGTTTTGCGCTTCAGTGCGATCTTCTTGCTCTGATGATGGCATTGAAGCATGAAACTGGCAATAAGCTTGCAGTAATGGAATTCGAACTCCATTGATAAATCGAAGAGCCGAGTTCGAATTCCAGTCAGATCCATTACATTCACTTACTTGCTAATACCCTTGGGAAAGGTATGAATCCTCTTCTTCTTCCTCCATCCAGCTATGGGTAAATAGCAGGACAGACAAGGTTCTATAGCCATGGATGGAAACTGGTCTCCCGCAGAAAGAAATGGCAATCTACTGCGAGAAAAAAAATCTGTCTCGTCAGTCATGTATCGAAAGATATACGATCACCTAGGCGTGTATCACGCATGGCACATAACTGATTGATTCTTATATCAACACTAGCTATCAATAAACATTGTCTTCAATATTGATCAGACTTCTGTCAATGTATCAAATTACCAAATACTATAAAAAAAAAATGTTAAGTTTGTATACTTAGCTGTCAATATGCCTCGATTCTGAACCACATGTGAGTCTATGAAACCTAGAGATATTTATCACCCAAATGAACAAATTTATTTAACATATTATTAATACACTCTATATCTTGATATCGAACGCCATCATTGCAGAGACTGCTCGCCGTAAAATGATTATAGAGTCCTGTCAAGCGATTTTTGTCTAAATACAATGTTATTGTTCTGATATTTGGTCAACCTGTTGTGCGAGCACCTATATTATTGCCTCACTTACTTGCATTATTGAAACATCTGTCTGTAGTCGGTAGGATTAGGGTTACAAGCTTAGCATTTCGACTATGAGAACCAAGTTCGAATCTTACCAGGGTCGATGTGTAAGTGAGGCGATAATATAGGTGCCCGAAAATCCACACAACGGGTTGACCACTGTTTTTTGAAATAAACTGGGATGGCAAAACTGTTTGGAAGTCGTTGCTGGTTGTGTTAACCTGAATTCACAAGTCATCGTGACAGGGGATTTAAATACACCGGCTTTGTTAAAACTGTTGATCTCGCGTAATTATGCGCTCCCTTCAAGGTCAACTCAGCAGAGTTGCAGTATAAACCAGTTTGATTTCGTTGGTGTTGAACAAATAAAGATGTCTCTGAGCTGGTGTCTGAAACAGGGATCAGCTTGGCACCATACGAGACTAGAAAACTCGAATCCGAGTGACCAGCTATGTGTGTCTGTATTTGTGTGCGTGTGTATGTGGGTGTCTGTGTTTTCAGCGTTTTTATTTTTTTATTAAACGGAATTTTATTAGTCTACAGTTTTCAGTCTCTAATTTTTTTTAAAATATGCGACACTGGAAATTTTTGGAGATATATTATGTACATTACTTACATTATTCGGACTGTTGTGCTCATCTTCTATATTCACGACGTTTCGGCCGTTGTACGCTCTTGCCTTCTTCAGGTAATTGTCATTTCGTCCACCGGGGTAGATTGTTCTAGTTCCACGTAACATGTCTCGTCCGGATGTCACAGTTATCTCCGTTTAAGTCAACTCTCCAAGTTTTTTCTTTACCACTGCAGTAGCCAGGTATTGAACTCATAACTCTTTTATCTACTGGACCATGTATCTCTGAAGATTGGTTGGAGTCAGTGACTTGATCTAAACAGTTGTGAGTTCAATACCAGTCTACTGCAGTGTTGAACAAAAACTTGGAGTGATGAGTTACTAAAGGGAATTAACTGAAACTAAGATATCCAGAAAAAAAAACATGGCACGTGGAACTAGAATAATCTACTCCCGTGGACGAAATAAAGGGTTCGATCGAAATTCAAACGTATATCACCTGAAGATGGCCGGAGCGTTAAACGGCTGAAACGTCGTGAATATGACAATAAAGATGAGAAAAACATTCCGAACAATGTAAATAATGTATATAATATCAGATATGTACAAAACTTCAATGACCCAAGCTTACTTGACTATATAAATAGTGTAAATATACAAGATCTTTTATTGTTTTTAAGTCAACCGAAAAACATTCTGTCGCTTCTTATGAACGTTAATTTCTGGAGAGAAATAACAAACGCAGCTTATGAAAAAAACGGTAACACTGCATTTAAGAGATTGGAAAAATCGTAGACAGAACGCTACCTACAAAGTTCTAGATACCCGTCAGGAGGTTAATTTCGAACCTTTTTATACTAAGTTGACAAACTAATGAACTCTCTCCGGGTTGCAACTGAACTAGCGTAGCAACTGTGCAGGTATTAACTGTACTAATACAAAAGACCCGCCAATCATTAATTTTAGTCAATAAAACCATGAAAATAGCCCTGTAAAAGGTGGAATAAATTAGAACCGTAATTTAATTTTCGAGGAATTTAGCATCTTCGCGCAAACATTCTTGTCATTACTTAAAAGACTAATAGAATCTTCTCAATCAAATTTATTCACGACTGCTTTGTTTAAACTTCTTGCCAAAATTTGTCCCGAACGGAAAGAGAAATATTAAAACAACGCTTGAACGTTTCGAGTGAATCAATTTAATCTTAATAGAAAATTTGAATTTCTCTCTCAAATTTCCATATTTTTGGTTAAAAAACATTGATTTAGAAAATTATCTCGAGAATCACAAAATTTAGACACGTACGAAATCCCATTAAGAAGTGTACTTTTTTTTTCATTGAAAATTAATTTATTTACAGATTTCCATCCGAGTATTACTCAACGTGATGGCTTGATTTTAAAACGATAATTTCAAACACGTTTCATTTTCTTTGCTTATCGCTTTCTTTTTCGCTATTATGAAATTTGTTTTCCTTCTGAATTTCGTTCAGATTCTCCCCTGGCTTTGACCCTTCAAAATCTAATTTTCGTCTCTAAAAACAGGTGTGAGATCGAATCATTAGAAAATAAAATTCTGTCATAACAAGTTGTTCGTTTGAGACAATTCCCCGCAGCTTCAGTAGTAATCCATTTGGATAAATTTATTGATACTTAAAAGTGTCGATCAATCTGTAAGGATCAAATCCCCTGCAGCAGAAATTGTGCGGGAAACGTTGTTCTACGGTAAAGTGAACAAACGCATATACCGGGCGTGAGAGCAAGGTTCAAATCGAGTAACAGAAAAATTGTCCAATTCTTACATTAAGGTTTGAACTTAAACTTAGAAATAATTAAAGATATGTTACTGGAATTCTCCGAGGTTTTTATAACACTATTGGACACTTCTTTGAGCAATAAGAATGTATAATTACTCTCCAAGTTTAACAGAAGAATCGTGTTGAAATCGATCATAAACGAAAATGACATGTTCATCATTAATTAATCATAGCTAAGGATCGGAAGCTCATGAGGGATTGAAATAAAATTCATATATATATATATATATATATATATATATATTTATTTCAAACTTATTCAAGATGATATGTACCCTCTGTAACCTTCTAACTTTGTATCTTGGAGTAACAAGATAACTCACAGGTACGATTTCATATTCAAGTCTTTTTTTTTACTGCTCTTTGGATTGTCATTAGCTGAAATTCCTGCCAAACGTCTTATCAAATGAGTTGGATCTTTTCTAATTGATCCCTTTAGCTTTAAGTTGAAATGATGATCCCTCTTGCTGTTGTAACCTCCTGATCCAGTTTTCCTCTCTACTGTTCCCTCTTTTTTTAAACTTATTCACCGTTCTCTTGATGGTTCTTGAATGGACTTTGAAGATGGAAACCAGAATATGAATGTTGGTTCCATTACAGAAGGCCTTTATGATCTCTCTCTCTCTCTCTCTCTCTATATATATATATATATATATATATATATATATATCCAGTGCGATGAGAACGAAAGTAATATATAAATTCCAACGTTCACAGTATTAATCCAAAAGAGGGTTCGATAGCGATAGTAGTTATTTATTTATTATATATTTATCATATAGACAATACCCAGAAATTCATACACAGATGTCCTGGGGATTGGTGAGAGGGAAAATAATTCAGGCCTTCTGTAATGGTACCAACATTCATACCCTGGCTTCCATTTTTAAAATGTCCATTCAAGAAGTATCAAGAGAACAGTATATAAGCTTATAAAAGAGGGAACAGAAGAGAGGAAAACTGGATCAGGAGGTCACAACAGCAAGAGGGATCATGATTTCAACTAGAGCTAAAGAGATTAATTAGAATAGACCCAAGTTAATCCATAAGACGTTTGGCATAAGACGTTTGGTGAGAGGAGTTTCACCTATGACAGTCCAAAGAGCAGTGAAAAAAGACTGAAAAATGAAATTGTACATGAAACCTGTGAAGCAACTTGTTACTCCAGGACAGAAACTTAAAAGGTTAGAGAGGGCGAAGATCATCTTGAACGAGTTGGAAAATGATCCTAGAATAATATCTATATATTTCAGCTTTATTTCCATTCTTCATGAGCTTCTGATCCTTAGCTATGATTAATTAATGATGAACATGTCATTTTCGTTTATAACCGATTTCATCACAATTCTTCTGTTATGCTTGGAGAGTAATTATATGTTCTTATTGCTCAAAGTAGAGTCCAATATTGTTATAAAAACCTCGTTGAATTCTAGTAAGATATCTTTAACCATTCCTAAGATACAACGGTTCAAAGCTTTAAGAAATGGACAATTTTGCTTTAAGACGATTGGGTCAATTTTGCTATTACACCCCGTATCGATGGAAAGAGAGAAATTAAAATACTTTCTTGTCTATATGAGAGTTCTTGAGTATTTCCGTGATTGTGTATGTTCTCGTATCCAGCAAATCTGTAAGAACAAAACAATTTGCAAATTATTTCTCCAGATCAAGTGATGTGTATGGAAGTTTGCACCAATCCTTCAATTGAGGAGTTTCTTTTTATCTGCCTGTCGTGAAAAATCCACTTACTTTTTAGATGGGCTAGGAAAAATCAAACAAGTACAGAAGTTTAAATATCTGGGAAGTGTTTTCACAGGGAATGGAAAATGCGACACACAAATCCGAACACGTATTTGACTAACGAAAGATGCCTTCCAAAAGCTAAGCAAAGTGCCTAGACACTAGAAAGAAAGAAAAAAGTGCTGAACTGCTATGCAATATCGATCCTATTATATGGCAGCGAATGCTGTACATTTTCCTCACTGATGAAGAGATTGATTGGTTGATTTGTTTGGTTAAGGGCATATCAACAACTTATGGGTCATTTAATACCGAAATTTAATTTTCTTTGGTGCTTTGCAATAATAAAAAATATATGTTATTCTGCTTTCACAATTGACTAAATGGTAGATAATACTCAGCTTTTGTACATATACATGTTTGTGTGAACATAATTACTAGAGGCGTTGATATGTATGTTTTATGTTGTAGCTTTGTTGAAGTTATATTTTTGGAATATTGTTTGATTTAAGAAATTGTGCATATTATATGAATTAAGGTCATTAAAGAGTTCTTTCATGTTACTCGTTTGATTGTTTAGTGGCATATCAACACCTCTATGGGTTATTTAATACCGAAATCTAAATAGTTTGAACGCAATTGTATGCCTTCATGTACAGATAAAAAAAAATCATTTTTGGTCATTTTGTTATATGTAGTGTTAGTAATTTTACTATAAATATGTATTTTTGTCCATCATGTTGTTTTGATATTTGTTTGTCCATAGCTGGGACCCAAACAAGTGCTTAGTACCCCGGGTCAGGATGAAGGTCGGAACAACAGCAATTAAATATGATCCCACGTTCCTAAACCCCCAATCCAGCGTTCAGAGGCCTTGCTGCCGGATGTAATTTATCGTCATATCCAAGATTGTTGATGAGGAGAAGACTAGAGGCCACAGAACCATGATTCTACAGAAGGATGCTGAGAATTCCATGGATGGAGCGCGTAAGAAACGAATATGTTTTAAGGACAATGGAGATAAAGAAAATAATTAAAATCAGAAAGAAAATTTCTTGGACGCTTAATGAGAATGGAGAATCTGACACTAATATGACAAGGAAAGCTCTCCTACCTGACGAGCTATGTGAAAGGATGCCCGAACGGAACAAACGTTACGAAGATCTACAAAGAATAGGAAATTGTGGAGAGCCATACTCGCCCACTTTCTGAAGAGACACTACACACAGAAGTGCGGCAGTAGTGGGGAATAAGAAAGGCCCCTACTTTTCATACGAATATGCTCAAATATTTGTAAGTATGTAAAATCGAAGTCTTAAATCTGTACTCTCTACACTGGCCTGGTGTGACAAAGTTGGACATAGTAAATTATGGATACCTCTCCTGTTGTGGTGTCAACTTCATCAACCATTACTGGTATTGTGAATTCAGTCCTTAATGGGTGCTCGAATATCTTGGTCTTGTACCAAACAAAGATAGTCTCTGTTAAATCATGGTTCTTTACTGTTATGCTTCCTTTTTTATTTTGCTTTAGGGTAATTTTATATTTTAACGAGCAGCATGGTCCGGCGTTGTCCGTGCTTGATTCAAAAATCGTACGACTCATACAGCAATCGCTATCACTTGACTTAAAATATTTTTGCCCCTTCTTGCCTTTAAAGGAGTACCCTTTGCTGTGCTGATGTTGCTGCATGCATTACTTCTTGCCTTTTTTCTAAGCTCTATATTAAATCTGTTACGAAAAAAGAACTAAACAAAATGAACACAAAACGATCAGCTTTAAAAAAAGGACTCGTAACTGGAAAACCGAATGAAAAAAAGAATGTTAACAACAAATTTTTTTCACACCCAACCCAGTTCTGCGGAATCAGAATCAACGTTGAGTTTAAGCAAGCGAATGAGCCAATTGGAGTAAAGTGCCATGCAGATTTAAATTTTTCCCACTTGTGACGAATGCAGCTATCGATTTTTTTTTGCATGCTAGCATGCTAGTTAGCATTCGTGTCAGTCAGCTGTTGGCTTTCACGCTGGCCAATAGAATCTTCCTGCCTATTCGTGGCAGCCAGCTATAGTCTCTCACTCTGGCCAGTACAAAATAGCCGCAAAATACATGAAAAGTACCGTAGAAGCATGAAAAAATCGATTATTTCCACTATCGTTGGGAATTGGGAAATGCAAAGTCGGTCTTGGCCTTTACGCTAACTTGGAGCATGTAAATTTTGGTGCAAATCCGTTGAAAATTGTGGCCGTGCATTCGTTACACACACACACACACACACACACACACACACACACACACACACACACACACACACCCTGCCTTTTATAGATAGAGATGAAATATAAATTTGCATATCTATCTTCATTCTTGTAGTTGTTCATGCTTATGGCCATATTGCCCTAAAGAACCGGTTCCCATACCATCACTGAAGTTAGGAAACGTTAAGCCTGGTCAGTACCTAGATGGGTGACGACTTGGGAATACCAGATGATGCAAGCTTGGCTAGGTGGATAGTGGAACCGATAGCGGTTCGAAATCACCGAACCAAGTTTCAATGTCAGTCGGGTTTGTTATTTTCCCTTCGCGCAAATTCTCTTGGGAAAAGCACGAATCGACTTCTTGTGTTAATTACTAGAACTTCTATCAGTAAATCATTATTATCTTAAATTTTTTTACAATCTAAATATAGTTTCTGCCTTTAAATAACCCTCAAAATGTTGATAAACTGTAAAAAACAATTCAGGCCATCAATCTTTGAAATACTCACAATATCGTTAAATGAATCATGAGTGAAGATTTTAAAAATAATTTCCGGTGGGACAACCCAGATTAACCCCCTATAAAAATATATCCGATTATAGTTTAGATTACTTCAGAATAAACCCCGGGTATTATTAGGCTTAGCAAACTTCATATCTAGGTGTATAAAATAGTCTCGTCTAAACTTTACCGACTTATGGCTGTTTCTATCGAGTTTAGGTTGGAAAAATCCGGAAATTCCTGTGTTAACTTTTGTGAGGTAAATAAGGGCTTATTATTCTGAATTGAACTGTTTTTTCCTTAACTAGAATGTTATATGATGGTTTCAGTCAACAATAATGGGAGTTTATTTATCATCATTTCACCTCAATCAAGGCGATAAAGCCACTAAGACGCAAAAAGTGAGGTAGTGAGAGTAAAAGAGAATATAAAGACATTAGTGAAGCCAATTTAAAAAAAATATTTCGGTAAAACAGAATATGGCTGTTGGCGCCGTATTTAAATTTTTGAAGATCGTAGGTGGGAGGCGAGCAAGAAACCGGAAGTACTTTCAGCAGGCAAGAAGTGCGAGAGAAGAAACTATTAGAATAGAACTCATGGTTGCATCTCGCTATTTCGACATAAAACGATGAGACCTAATTGCCAATCTAGTAGTACGTTTAAATTCATAAAGTCCATAGAGGTGATCTCATTAGAACAATTACTATGAAAATATTGAGGTGAAATACAGAGGAAAGCCCCCCCTCATGGCAGTGAGAAAGTCGAGGTTCCAGGTCAGGACCAATAAACTTACAGGCTCTCCTTTGGATTTTTTTTTCGAGATACATTACAGGATCTCCTGCCCAGAAATATTCAGTGCACTGATGAACGGTAGATTTATAAATGTGCAAGATGGATTGTGGCAAGAAGAAACTGTCTTGAGCGATACAGTAAACCAACTTTCTTAACAGCAGAACTAGGAATTGATTCAATATAACGACTCTACTTCATGTCAGTGGGAAACGTGAGAAGAAGGCGCATTGAGTTGCTTCTCTGGGGGTTAGCATCAGCCATATTGATGGAAAGCAAAAATCGTTTTTTATGATGATTAAAAGATAGCAGCTTCGTTTTGGAGTAGTTAAAACTTAAAGTCATTTCTTGCCCCAGTTAACAACTGATTGGATATCTTTTTTTGAGAGCAACTGAAAGTTTTACTTCGTCGGACCTATGGGACTTACTATTAAAACAGGATTAAATAGTTGTGTCATTAGCATATATACCTAATCGGGAACTAATGGCATTGGCTAAATTACGCAAAAATGAAAATAACACTGACATCTCATTTTAATAGTTATATATACCAAAATTACACAAAAATATCTTGAAATACTAAAAAGTAAATTTATTCAATAAAATTGCTAATGGCGTAAACTACGAACTTCGGATGATTTCGGAATCTTCTACATTTCTTCTGGATGGTCTCCTTGTTTAAGTTGGTGAATGCTGCCATAATCCTTGCCATCAGTTCACCTTTGGTGTTACAAGGAGATTTTTTGCTCTCTCGCTAAACTAAGCCCCGCACATCATAATCAAGAGGGTTGCAATTTGGGAAGTTATGCGTTTAGATGTAAGGTGTGATGTAGTCGCAGAAATTGTCTGACAGGTTCTCCTGGTTACGTGATATGTTGTAGAGACCGGTTGCCAGACATAGGGTCTTCTAGCCGCCACCCTCTTGGCGCAGGGCAGCACTACCGCATCAAGGCACTTGATATAGACATCCGTCCTGAGTCTAGGCCCTGTAGGAAGACGAATGGAGACATAACGTCGCCATCACTAGTAATTATTTCAAATACCTTAGTAATTACCATTAGACAGATCCAACTCTTTCTGAATCCTCTGGTCTATCCTTAGATTGACATCCAAACACTCTGAAATGTTCGTCTTGGAGCTTCTGTTGCGAATGCCAAGCAGTACAGCATGCAGTTTCCAAATTTCTGGCAGAGTAAATTGCGTCATGGTGTTCTTTTGCTCAAAGATGTAGCCCAACTGACCCAAATAAAAAAAAAAGTCGACAAATCAAAAACAAACAACGCGCATGCGCGAAATTAAAAATACAAAATGGCGACATCACACCCTGTATATATGGTTTTGTGTATGTCTTTGTATTGTAAAACTCTCTCTGAGAACAAAGCTTGCTGGTTATTCTTTTTCTTTTCAGACATTCCGTTCCGTCCATGAAATATCGGTGTTATCATATTATTATTATATATAATTGATATAATGGAATATGCGTACACCTGTGTTCCCTCTCACTAGAATATGATTGGCTGGTGTCCGTCATAAATACTGACGGACGCCATTGATCTACACTTCTTACCTGCGACTACGACGCGTACCAGTCGATTACAGCTACCGTATTCTACTTGGTTATAGTAGCCAAAACCACTTAGCTACTTCGTTCAAATATATCCCTTTCCGGGATTTATCAATTATAATGCCCATAACGGGAAAACATAAATGGGAGAATAAATCTTTTTTCCTTAGCTTTCCCCATTTTACAACAACATTGCCACTAATGTCTTACAAATTATGTAGGAGGCATATTTCTGCTGAATTAGTTTCATGCAAACAAATTCATAAAAAATAAATTATGTGATTCCCTTTTATGGAATAATAATAATAATAATAATAATAATAATAATAATAATAATAGAAATTACTAAGTAAACATCCTGAAACCTTGTGAAATGCAGATTCTATGATGAATATCCAGAAAAAATTGACCATCTTCTTTAAGATTGCACTTAATTAGTATTTCACCGAATTTTATACTCGGCATGACTGGGTGGGCCAATATCTGCACAGGAATATCTACAACTTTTACTGCAACTGCAATAAATTGGTATGAACACCACTCAGTGCTGGTTACAGAAACAAAACCTGTAACGACTTTGTGGGACTTTGCACAGAGACAGAACAACCAAACCTAATCACCCAGACATAGTAATCAAAAACCACAAAAACAGAATGTGCTTTTTTATTGACATGGCAGTCCTTGCAGACGATCATGTATCCTTGAAGATATTAAAAAATACAAGGTTCTTGAAGTGGAAACCTCAAAAATGTGGTACATGAAGACGTCAATGATTTCAGTTGTGGTTGAGGCCGTCAGTATGATTGGAAATGGTTCTGATAGACCCTTTGAAGAGTTCCCTAGTAGCCATTGCTTTAAAGAAACTACAAAAGGTTTTTATCACAAGTACAGATCACACATTACGAAGAGTTTTATGTATATGTGTGTGATTTTAGGGCTTTTAAGTTTTAATTTTTTTACAAAAATATTCAGTGGAAAATGTTATGATGCCTTTTCTGACGTTAGGTCTCTTGTTGGGACTAGGAAGGGAATGAGTATGCAATGGAAATCAATGGAAATAATAATAATAATAATAATAATAATAATAATATGAAGATAATTACATATGCAAACTGCAATCATCCGACCTCGAGAGAATGGACAAAATTACAGGAGAGTTTCTTAAGATTTATATTAAACTGTTTGATTACTAACTAATCAACGAGTAAAAATTTCCAATATGTCACACTCCATCATGCTACTCGCGTTTTCGTTGCATTCCATTCAGGCTGGATGCGTTTCATTCGTTGTGTCATGTTGATTACTAGTGCAACCGTCTTTCTCAAGACAAGCGATGTTGGTACAAAGACGTGCATTTTTTTTCTGTATTGTTTATACTTGTATGCAATTTTTAAACATAACTTTAAGAAGACAAATTTACTGCCGAAATATCGGAAAATATCATGTCTTTTTCTTTTTCTTTTCTTAAACTGCGGCTCTTCTCTATGTTCATTTTCTAAGCGTAGCTTCGATGTGACACAAGGCCGAAAATGTGGGGCACTACCCAGTTGTAATTGTTCTAGCGAGACAAGCATTACACAACGTCGAGGTGATTCCTCCACGACCACCACTCTTCTGTATGTGTTGTAATAATAACAGTAATTAGCATTGACTGCCCAATGCAACTGTTACAGAAAGAAGCCTCTTAGGAACAATAAGATTAATCCGGAAAGTGATGAACAGTCAGATTCATAAGGATACAGTACGATTCTAAGGCTGCTGCTTGTGATCTACTGTAAATGCATTAATTACCAGATATTAATATCTTATCTGAGGAAATATCGAATATAAATAAATAATAAAATCCCTAATGCTACAGCAGGCTCCCATAGCTTCTGATCTTAATTGATTGAATGTACATGGGTTTGGTAAATTAAAATTTGATTGTGTAATACAGGAATAGACAATGGTTTGGTTTGGTTTGTTTTACGGCATATCAACCTCAATGGGTTATTTAATACCGACAACATTTTTATTGCTGGTTTATTTTGTTTTGTTAAAAAATCTATTTCTGGTAATAATTTTTTTGCTTCAAAACTATATTGCTGGTAATATTTTTTTTTTTTTCAAAAATGTATTGCTGGTAATATTTTCTTTTTTCAAAAACGTATTGTTGGTAATATTTTTTTTTTCAAAAACGTATTGCTGATAATAATTTTTTTTACAAAGTATTTCTGGTATTAAAACCTATCTTTACAATTTCATAGTGTTTTGACCCCAATTTGGGGGTTAACTATTTGCTCATATCTGGGACCCTCACAGGTGTTACCAACCCTGGTTAGGGTAGACCTGGGGACACAGGCAATTAAGAGGTGGTTCCACGCTCCTCAAAACCTCCTGGACGT